ATGTAGTAATTATATGCCTGAGAATGATTGAAACCAGACCTCACCATATGTGGATGTTTACATAACTCACAAAATACATACTGAGACCAGACTACAATCATTTGTGTAGATGCCAAGATTGGATTGATCTGGTGTGCATAATGTTGTAATAATATGTAGTGAAATATACTACGGTACTGAATGACTTTGGGTTTGATATTGTGGGGCTTATCATTGAGCAGGACAATAAATTAGGGTATATCCAGTCAGAGTGGCGTGGCTTAGGTCCTCACCCACCATTCCATATAAAGGTGTATTATATTATTTAGATTATATGACAAAAAAAGCACCATTAAAGTGACGAAGGAAGACAATTTTATGACACAAACTCACATATTATTGTGTATTATTGTTTTATATATATGGACTGTGGGATGGGAATTTGTGCCAACACTATAAATATCTTTCAAGGCAATAGAGAACTCGGCAAACAAGAATTCAGAAATATTCAAGATTGTATATACCTGTACATCATTTAATATATATATCACTAATGGCAATTTGGCAGCTGGCTGTATAATATAACAGGGCTACAGCATATGTGAATGGGATAGGGTTTATCATCCTCAATACTCTAGGGGTTACACTCACATATGTAAATATCCTGTTTATTATATGTTAACACTGATAAGTCGCAAGACTTAAGGTTAATAAAAAACTTGAACTTGAACTTGCACTCTCTGTACCCCTGGAATATGTCATAGCGAAATCAAAGGCATGTGGCTAGCTATTTGATTGGTCTGGGGTAAAAAAACACTGACCAATTGCTCGACCAATCTATGTGCAGAGAAGGCAATACCTGATTTCAAATACAGTCAATTTTACCGTTACACGACAACAAGATTCTTTTGATCTGCATCAAAGTATCAAAGAAGTCTTCTCATCTCATTCAAAAAGTGGTGCACACAGAGTATGCAATTTTGTCCTGACCTATTCCAGGGGTGTAGAGACCGAAGGTGAGCATAACCCCTGGGCCGGTATTCATGAAACTGTTCCCATGCTCAAGCATGAATTCTGTACTTAAACCAACTTTCTTGTAACTCCCCTAAATCATGTTACATCAGCTGGGAATAATGTAGGAATAGAAAGTTGATACCCTTTTTTGAAATAGGGGAAACTATGTGCTGTAGGTGTATAATGACCCGTCCAGTGAAAGCTGCAAGCTGGAGCCAGGGGAAGAGTACTTGAGGGGGGCATGGATTACATCTTTAATTTTGTTTCTTGTTGTTCATAATGAACAATGATATATTATAATATATTATAAAATATCAGCAGCGACAATTTATATCAACACAGGGAAAATGAAATAAATCACTTAGTTGTGGAACTGATGGAAAATTAAAAGAAAAATGAAACAAAGGCAGATATTCATGTGGTAGTATTTTAGTTACAAATGGTTGAATTGTTAAACTGAAATAGGGGGAAATAAAGCTGAAAAAGGGGGAATAATGCCAAAATGGGAGGGGGAACTAGCCCATATTCGACCATAAAAAAGGTCTGTATATATCCATGTACATGGTCAAAAAGTCCAGTGTTAACACTGAAATCAGGATTCACCTTGAAGTCTTTCAAATTTTTTATAAACAATTGAGGAAATATTATTGTTTTATTACTTTATTGCTAGCACAAGAAACTGGGCTCTAGCATAGAATCAGATTTGAGCCTGACAACGGTTACATGAATACAGGCCCTGGAGTATTGAGGATCGCTGTTTAAATATGATCACTTATATTTGTTCTGTATTGTGGTGTTTGTGCATTCTTTCTGTATGTGACAAATGGGAGGGGGAGAAGTGAATACTACGTATCCCCACTACTTGTCTGCTAGTGTGTGTGTACTAATACTACGAACCCCACTACTTGTCTACCAGTGTGTGTGTGTACTAATACTACGTATCCCCACTACTTGTCTACTAGTGTGTGTGTCGTATATATATGGTACACCGACTGTGACGTCTGACTATGGATGATGGGTGTTGTATGAGGTTACTCTCTGTAATTATTGTAACACTGTGAGAGTAATATCGCCAGTCTGTAACACTACTGTGTGTATTATATATTTGTTTAGACTAGCTGACACTATTTTCAATGTTACCAAATCAATGCTGTGCATATAGCTCCGTTATATTGAATCATGGATGTGCCACCAACGTCAGATAAGTGAATCTCAGAAAAACGTGATCCTTGTCAATATCTGTTTCTAATCTCAACTCCAAGGTAATCCAAAAGTTTTTTAACCCTTTCACCACTGTAGACCAAAATGGACTCATCCAGATCAATGCATGGTAGAGTTTACTAAAGTTACATAGGGGTGAAAGGGTTAAGGGTAAAAGAATCTATCACCCTTATGAAGTCAATGTTAAAATTCTTTATGTTTAGCTCAAAGCTTTCCATGTGTTAAACTTCCAAAATATCCTACCCAGAGGAACTGACTTAAAAACATCCCATGGATTCTTACTGGTATTTCATACCTGTACCAAGTAACAGTGTAATAGGACGGGAAAAATGCAATGATAAGACCAGATGGGCCCGTATTCACGAAACTGTTATGATGCTCAAGCATAATTTCTTGTTTCAGTTATAAATTAATAAAAAGATCTGATTTTTTCAATGATTTATAAAATAAGAAGAAACTTAAAGCCGAATACTGTTTTCAATGTTACATTTTACTTTTTGAATCATTCTACATGATTTCAATGAGTTACATGTTCGCTAGCCAAGGGTTACGATCCGATATGATCCAGTCTTCCTACTATTCACCCGTGAAGAGTAGGTAGATCGTACCGAACCGTAGCCCTAGGCTAGTGAAGATGAATGAGTTACAAGGAAGCTGGTTTGAGCACAGAATCCATGATTGAGAATGTGAATGGTTTCATGAATACAGGCCCAGGACGTTTGACCTACTCCAAACAACTTATTCACCCCTAAATATTTACATTGAACTTGCCCAATCTGTGATTTGGTAAGGTTCAAAGGTGACTTTAGGGGGAAATGGGTTAATACAGATCTTTATTGTACCTAACATGCTGGTTTCGAGGATTCTTGATAGATGAGCACATTTGTATCTCTATCAAATTTTGGGATTAAATCAATTATAGGAGAACATCTGTCTGAACCTGACAGCTTGGGAGAACTACCATTATGACTTCCTGTGAGTGTAAACTATAAATTATAATGACTTCCTGTCAGGTAATACCATATCTTTAGCTCCCCCAGGGTCAGTATATATGTATTTAACTTGAAGCCCTCTCGAGGGACATACGATGTAATTTCAGGAGGAGGATCTTAACTTAATGACAGTAGCTGTATTAAACAAGAAGTACTTTGTGACTTCAATAGAACTACAACCTTTGGTGGTTGATGAAGAAGTTTATGGAGGATTAAATGTTTAGATTGGATAGACCTATGGAAATATTTGTATATCTGATGACCTGTATTTCCTGTAATGTAACTCATTATTTGTTGTGTATCTGTGTGGCATAAGAATATTTGAACATGAGGTTTGTGCTTCTTCCCAGGCAGAAATAAACTATATTTCCAACAAAGAGCCATATGACTGAAGACCATACAAGTGGAGACAACTCCAAATTCAAAATTATGAAGAGGTTTCATGTAAAATAACTTTCTGTCTTACCTACAATGATTGTATTGACTAAAATTGGGTTTGTGGGACTGACCAAAATTTGTGAGAGATGGCAGTGCTGTCCCACACAATTGTGGTTAGCATGTATGCAATGTAGTATGGAAATACTATGGCAGTCATTGGTTAACTTGTAGATCAGGGATATATAATTTCATAATTAAGTTGCTCACAGACAGATATTGAAAAATTGTACTTGCCCAATCTATACATTCATAGTAATTATTGATTTTTTTTTACTAGCCCAAACATACTAGCCTTGGGTATCAATTAGCAAGTGGAATTGTACATACACTTTTGTAGGTTAACCCTTTCACCACTGTAGACCATAATGGACTCGTCTAGATCGATGCATGGGAGAGTCTACTAAAGTTGCATAGGGGTCAAAGGGTCAAGGAAAATCTTAATCTATTGATTGACTGTTAGGTAATTATAAGTCCAACTAGATATCAACTAAATAGATTCACCAGGGAACACCTACTGCATATAACTGATTCTCTACAACATTGCAGTGTATTCAGGACTCTGACCTGTGATGTATCTTTTTAAATGTAGGTCAACAGTACCTGAGCGTCCGTATCTTCTCATATCACAATAGAATAAAAAGATTTAAAAACTTCATATGTACAGCAGATAATAGCTGGCACTGAACAGCAGTTCAGATAAGACCTTTTCATCAGCAGCTGTGACCTTGTGACCTCAAATATTTCTTAAAATAAGCTGTATCACAGATTCTGAATCTACCCATTCAACCCTAAAGTCACATTTGAACCTTATCAAATCAAAAACTGGACAAGTCCATTTAAAAAATGTAGGGGTGAGTGAGTTAACCAGCTGGTCTATTTATACAGGATTCTGAATGAAACATTGATGAGAACATATGTACTGGGATCTGTTTTACCTATAAATTATATATATATGGCAACCATCTGTTAGTTCCTGCTGATGAGCCTCAGTATATATACACTTGTTGTTTCCAAGGGCAAACTTTTGTTCTGGAACAAAGTTGTGGGTTATAAATTTTGTGTAACACTGCAGGTTGTGCAAAATATTGCCATCAAAATGGAATTGTGGGGTTTATAATATAGGCTATTAATTTACTCAGGCCATGAATAAAAACAAAAAAATCAAATGTTAGCAGCATTTTATGGAATATCATTAACTCATTTACCCCTGAAATTTCATGATGAACTATTCCAACCTTTGAATTAGAAGAGTTAAATTGTGTCCACAGGGTTGAATAAGTTCAGTTTCATTGTGTTTGAGTATTCAATAACTTGTCAGAACAATTGTTTGACAGTGTTTTCTTTTGCATGTTTCAGGATTAAGCCATAATGGAAGAAGACCCTCAGGAGTTGTCCTATTCCTCGGAACACATCGAACAGCTTCTTCAGTGTGCTATCTGTCTGGATCGCTTCAAACAACCTAAACTATTGCCATGTCAGCACACATTCTGTGAAACACCCTGTCTCGAAAATCTCGTTAATTTCCTTTCAAGGAGTATAAAATGTCCAGAGTGTCGAGCGGAGCATCGTGTACCCTATCAGGGGGTCTCGTCTTTTCCCAACAATCTAACAATCAGGAACTTCCTTGAAATTCCCACAAAACGTATACGACGGACCAGTGGGGGTTCCGGTGGGGATGGAGCAGGGGGTTCTACCGTGGCTTCTGGTAGCACTAGTGCTGCGGGAGGTAGTGGAGGCGCATGTGCCTCAAGTGTAGGAGGACAGTATATAAATGCTGTGGCCCAGGACAGGGAGCCCCCGACGGCTGCAGCATCTCGCTCCGGGTGCACTATATGTACAAGGGAGACAACTTTGTCACGATGTGCTCACTGTGATCAAGTTGTATGTGACGCCTGTAAACGATCTCACATGGACCACATTAAGCTGGATGTGGCACGGCTGGTCGGCCAGATACGACGCGGTATACCGCACATGTCCGATGCGGTCAATCACATGGAGATCAAAATCGAGGCATTACGACAACGATCAGAAAGTGGTAAGGCGGAAATTACAGAGATCATAGAAAAGTACATAGCAGAGCTTCGGTCACGTCAACGGCTGTTACACAGTGAGGTAGAAATGTTCCTCCTCGGGGAAGTTCGGGCACTCAGGATGCACCAGGAAAATCTAGAGGTCGAAATGGCTAGTATAGCCAGCTTCTGTGATACAAATGAGTCCACACTTAGCAGATCTCAGCAAAATACATCTGATGAGGGCATTGTTGAAGATAAGAAACAGTGTGTGGAATATATGGAATTATTGCGCTCTTATGAATTAGGTAACTATCCTTTGCCAAGAGAACGTTCTCTTCAGTTTTACATGGAGGAAAATAGACTTTCAAATGTCATTGCCGGTTTTGGAGAAATCGTTACTAATAATTCACAGTCAACTTCAGAGAGCCAGTCGTCAGCATCCTCCAGGGATTCCTCGCCCGTAGTATCCCTGACAAATGTTGTGACCACCACCCCTTCTCTGACCACAACCACCACCCCCAGCACATCTACTGCTAATTCTGGTCCCATGAACACTGACCGAGCCTTGGCCCTTATCAGGGGAGGACATCACCTCAGTGCTTTTACAACACCTTCCCCGGCTCCCGACTCCGATTCTGAGGCACGGAGCAGTCCCCTTCCGCGGAGGACACTCCAGGAAAGACGGCGTGGGCACATGTCTGACACAAGGATTGCAGGGCTGATGGCTGGTGGTGGAGGAGGTGGCGGTAGTGGTGGTGGAAGTTCCAGCCCAAGAACCTCAACTGCCAGTGCTTTGAGGGAGCGCCGCTTGAATCGTAGTCTGAGTACTGGTGCTTCTCTATTTACACCTGTATCAAGTCTCACAAATCAGCCCTCCACTTCCATACAGGAGGAGCCCTCAGCCTCTCCTTCTCCACGACCTAGGAGGGCAGAGAGGAGTAACACTTTCAGCAGAGAAGAGAGTAACACTGCTTCAGAGGTCGTACCACAAACTTCGCGTGTCAGCTCTGCAGATGCTCGTCCTCGGGCTAGGCCGCCAGTCAGGTTTGATGTAGGCCTTGATGACAATGGAGATCAGAATGAGTTACCGGGATTGGAGCTCTTGTCTTTCTCAGACAACGAGAGCTGTGTGGTTACCACAGCAACCAACAACTATCAGGATAAAGGAAGGGCCATCATCAGGTTTGGACAGCGAGGAACAGACTTCATGCAGTTCACTTGGCCTCGTGGAGTGGCTACAACACGTGAGAACAATATACTTGTTGCCGATAGTAGCAATCACAGAGTGCAGGTGTTTGATTCTGTTGGAAAGTTTGTGAAAGTTTTTGGCTCCTACGGTCAAGGAGAGGGTGAGTTTGATTGCCTGTCAGGGATAGCGGTCAACAGTTTTGGTCAGGTGATTATTTCTGACCGTTACAATCACCGTATCCAAGTCTACAATCGCCACTGTGAATTTGAGTTGGCCTTTGGTACAGAGGGGTCGGACCAAGGACAGATGTTGAATCCATGGGGTGTTGCCTGTGACAACATGGGCTTCATCTACGTTTGTGACAAGGAGAATCACAGAGTTCAGGTCTTCCAAACAAACGGCAGGTTTGTCCGAATGTTTGGAGCGCTCGGACACCGTTCCGGTCTGTTTGAAAACCCTCATTTTGTTGCCATCAGTCCAGATAACAAGATTTTTGTCAGTGACAGCAGTAACCACCGGGTTCAGGTTTTCTCTATGTACGGAGACTTTCTGTTTGCGTTTGGATGTCCAGGGACCATGGAGGGCCAGATGAGATTTCCAAAGGGTATAGCCATTGACGACCAAGGATTTGTGGTTGTCGCAGACTCTGGTAACAACAGAGTTCAGGTTTTCCGCGGCAATGGCAGATTCTACTGTATGTTTGGATCCTATGGAAGTGACAATGGGCAGTTCAAGGGTATAGAAGGTGTAGCCATCCTTGGCAACGGAAATATCATCATTAGTGATCGAGAGAATCATAGAATTCAGATTTTTTAATTTTAGAAATTTCAGAAGAGTTTTATGAGTCGTGCTTTATGATTCAGGATTTTAGGATGAGAGTTATTGCTGCAGATGATAATTATCTGTATAATGGTGCTTGTTTGTGTTCAAGAGTAGATTTATTTATCTAACCAGGGCTTGTGGACTCATTGTAGTGGATTACCTCTAAGATAAGGACAAGCAGGTATGCATTGTGTGTGTTTGGGTTGTGATGCTAACCAGATTTTCGTGTTAGGATATATCATACCTCGGAATAATTCTCTTGGTAACAAGATGACACGGCCGGTGCGTAAGCATAAAAGTGCCAAGAGAATACACATTTTTACATGTGCTTTGTTAGTGATATGGACATGCCGCAGCGAGGCATGTGAATTTTGCGCACATCTGTTGCAGAACTTTCTGCTGTTCACATGAATATATGAATCATCAACTTAATTGTTACCATGGTTTCCCATCATAATGAATCTCCTGTGCCGAAGGTTTAGTCAACATAACAGTTTGTTTGCAGTTTATTAGGCGAAGTTAAATATATTTAGGATTTTGTTAATCATCAGACATTTTCAGAGATTTGCTGACATCTTTTCTACGTAGCGAGTGAAAACAATTTGACCTTGGGTATATTTAGATACTGATAAATTAGCCGGTCCCTAATAAGATATTTCTTTGCCAATTTAATAGCATTAGATTACATTGCTATTAGGTACTATGTAAAAACAAAATCATAGTAAACATCTTTAATCTTCCAAAACTTTTTCAAATGTATTTTCCGTTTAAACATTGGAACCCCTAAAAAAGAAGGGGTTTTTGGGGTTTTGTTTGTTAAATACCATATAAACCCTTAAAACGTTAATATTGGTCTGTGAATTCATATAATTTACCAGGCAATAACAAAGGTTAGACAAACACTCATTCACCCCTGAAATTGCATAATGAACTATTCCAACCTTTGAATTGGAAGAGTTCAAAAGTGTCTTCAGGGGGTGAATGAGTTAAAAGTTGAAAATTCACACTTAATGACTATTTATTCATTTTGGACAATAAAGAAAATAATTTCACTCATGAATCACCAGTGCACTGAAATTTTTCGGTGTATGTATGCTAATATCACTTTTGGGTGGGAATTCTTTCTAAGGTTACACATTATAAGGTCATAGAGGGAATAGCTAAAGTTAAATTATGTATGTCTATATACACCATGTCTTCCAGTGTTACATCACATGTACAGCTTTTACATTCTCCAAACATTCCCAATGCCAGAATACATTAACCAGAACCTGAGGCCCCTAACAGAGACAGACCCAGCTAGATACACTAGCCGTGACTAATACAACCGCATCCCATAACATTGAGGCTTCTCAACAAATATTACTCTGGAAATGAAAATGTAAAAATAAAAAAAATATCTGTTTCTCCTATTCAGATATATAAGCACTTCTTTATGAAATGTAACTTTGAAATTATAGCTATGGCTTCTATCAAAAGATTTCTTATCTATTTTCAATTAGCGTGTTTTTGATGGAATGAACATGTAGCAGACATACGCTTTCTGTTGTTCATTATTTCAGTGTATAAAACTGTCTTTGTTGCCTTTGTTTATAAATTTACAGAATTTATCATCTTTAAAGTTGACTATCACTTAATTTGCCCTTCTTTTGAGTCCTTTGTAAGAGTGGCCATGGGTAATGTCTCAATTACCAGCTTCCTTTGCACCTGATCTTGAAAATTTGTTCTTTATAATTAATGACGCAACATATACATTGAGCATAACATAGTACACTTGCGCAATCAAAATGGTTTCACTAAACTGTGATAAATAACAGTCTGTATACACACAACTAAATCAACAATATTGGCAGTTAGAAAATGATGGTGTCGCATATCATTGAATTTATTATTAGCTGAAAATTAATTCCATCAAACTTGTTCACTGAATTTGGTGAAATGATTGTTAAGAAGCCCTTTGTCAAACTTGGTGATGTCAAAAGTTTAGAGTCACACAGCTAATTCATATCTCTTCCTGAATGATCGTGTGGTGGATTTTGCCAAAAAATGGTCGCTGAATTTTATCAAATGTAGTCGTGTAGCATAATCTTTGGGGTCAGTAATGGTCCAGGTGTTTCGCTGGTCGCGTTAGACAGATGGTCGCTTAATACAGTTAAATTGCATAGTAAAAACGTTCGGGAGGCGTGAAAATTGGTCGCATAAAACATGTTTCTTCAACACAGATGGTCGCTTGAACAGATTTGACTATTAAATATAACTGCCCTTTTTGATGATCTCAATATGACTTGAAACACTTAACAACAAAAACAGTTGGACAGCACATTTTACTAGTAAACGTTTATCTCCCCTTCATCCTCTTATTTTTGAAAGGATTTCTTTCAAATTTATTTTGCTACAACATCTCGCTAATGATAAATGACTTCCAATTTATGATAAATATCTCTTCCAATTTTTGCATAAACACTGTATGTATTCAAGAAACTGGTTTTTTTTTATCGATACTAATGTCCATATATATAGTCCTGATATATTGCCAAATCTCTAGCAGTTGATTATTGATGGTTTTATAATCTTTTAATTTATTATTGTTTGATAAGCATTAGTGAGTGAAGTAACCGTGCATATAATTTACAAACTAGTAATCCGTCCAATAAATTATGTCCAAATCAAATATTATTAGCATTGTTTTAGAAGTGTTTAAGCACCCATTTTGTTATTCATGAATTTTTCCACATTTACATTTTAGTCGTTAGTTACTTTTATTTTATTTTGTCAGGTTCTGGTGTTACATATGAAACATTTATGTGGTATATGATATAGTTTTAGAGAAATATAGGAAATTTGTTGGAGCCTTATTAATTATCATAATAAGTTATTAATGAAACCTTTCAAAATCTCTACCATTTTTTTTTTTAAATCACCAAGTTTGTAAAACTGATTTTTATGTACTTTAAATTCCTGATGCATTGTGTTCAGCAGAACTAGTCTTTACAAACATTTTTGTTAAGGTACAGGTAATTCTGTATAATACCCTGTGTTTATTTACACATAACTTTGTTCGCTGTATTTCTTCTTTTTGGTAACCATGGTTACTATGAAATATATTTCCAGTTATTGAATATTCACATATGATATGCTCAAAATGTGAGTGCAGGATTTAGTCAACATGTAATGTTGCAAATTATGTTTTCGTGTGTTGTTTTTGCAGCTTTATTTACCACAGATACATATCCCTGTTAGATCTCAAGTGTCATTTTTATAATTGTTTAACGGACCATCAAAGGTTTAAGTGATGTTGGGCCGTTATATATATAAAAGGTTACATAATACCGGGTGTAGTTCTTCCCTCTGTAACATCTCAAGGGCTACATTATGTTGATTGTCAAGTCTTTTACTTCAGTTTTGTTTACGATGTTTGAACTACCACGACCCTCAGGAATGATTAAACAATGGGCAATTAACTATAATGGAATCATTAGAAAAAGGGGAAAATTTGTAAAAAGGAGTATTTCTGTGAAGCTGATCTGATTGTGATCATGATAGTTGTGAATACTAACACTCAACATTTTCAAACGTTTGTGTAAAGCAACTATGCTTCAACTTAACTGTAGCCATTGCTTGTAAATGTTTTCTTTCAGAAACAGGTAATTATTTTTGTTGCAGGTGTGCAGGCATCTCTTGTAGAATATTTGTGATTGTGTACATTTCCGTAACACAGTCAAGATCTAATGTAGCATAGCAGGTGCACATGTATGGTTCTCTCAAACAGATTTTAGTTTGTGAATAAAAATCACGAGATTAGATCCGATCCCACGTCATGATAAATGAGGCACGGTTGTCCAGTGGTAGAACGCCGGGCTCGTGACTGAAGGGTTGCGGGTTCGCGCCACGGCACTGTGTTGTATCTTTGAGCAAGATACTTTACTCCGCTTGTTCCAATCTACTCAGCTGTAAATGAGTACGTGGTTGGGCAGTGCTAGCTGTTAGCGCCGAAATAGCAGCTCCGGCTGTATGCTCCCCAGGGAGTTGAGAAAGGTATTGGCTGGTTGCAAAGGCCCTATAACCATGGATAATAATTAGTGAAAAGCTTTGAGACGACCTACGAACTAGGTTGTGATAAAGCGGTATATAAGAACCTCCAATTATTATTATAATTATGATAAATAAGTGTAAGCTTAAGATAAATTGGTTAAACAAATTTACCATTACAGATCATTTTAAGTTTTATATTAAGGTATAGAATCTAAGATTTATGAAAAATAAAGAATTTCATGATAAGCATACAAGTTATCTATTTGAAATCACTGAGGATGACATTATTAAAAGAGGTTCCTTTATTACCTCATATACGGTAGGTAGTTCAAGACAAAGGTATATTTTCTATATGTGAATGCCCCTATGAAATGTATTATAGCTTGTATAATATAGCATTTGAATAATTGTCTGCTTGGGAACTAACATATAAAACAGACTAGTGCTAACACTCTATACTGAATTTGATCTCAACATCAAGTGTCCATTTGTGGTAGAAATTTAACTCATTCACCCCTGAAGACATATTTGAATTCATCCAATTCATAGGTTGAAATAGTTCATTATGAAATTTCAGGGGTGAATGAGTTAAAATACTCCTGGTGTTCAAGTATGTGAGTTAAGGTGCTTCAGTACATGTACCCGTTAACTTGCCCATCCTAATACAGAGAACAACTGGTATGCATGCAGACGAGGAACAAAGGCACATCGTAAATGTACGATTCGATTGCAGTCGTGGCTATCAAAGGCTAGTTCTCTGAGGAAGGGTGGTAATTAGGTTAGCTATGGTTAATTTGCCAAATTCCACTGTTTGTTCCTGTCAGGTGTGGTAAGGAAATCACTGAGGACAAAGAGGTGTGCACCATGAGATACTGCAGACCAGAGTTGAGTTGAGATTCACAGGGAATGAAATTAATTTTTGGATGTTTTTAGGGATATTTGCCAAGTCTTTGTTAGAACCTGCTATAGATAGGTCACACAGTATAATTTTCCTTCCTGCCTTCTTTGTTTTGAACTTACAAGATATTCACTGCAGTTGAACTTGGTAATTTTAGGGCCTGGCATTGACATTGTGGGTGCCCAATAGTAATCCCATTGTCTGTCTGTTTGTCTGGCTGGCTGCATGTCTCTATGTCTGTCCAAACTTTCGATTCTGGAGATTATCTCAGAGTCCAACATCTGTTCTAAGTTCTAGCTCACTTAATATAGACCACAGGATTGGTCAAACGCATGACAGGGCCCTAATTGCTCCCTTGCTGACTTGTCAGTGTTCCAGTTTAATATAATGATATGGCTACTGGGAGGACAATTACTGATGTCATTCTTTCAGAATTATAACGTTTTATTCTCTTTTTCTTATATCGACTCTAACATATACATTAGGGCCATCTTCAAACCAATATAAAACTACTATAGCAATATTCATCATATACAGGGGTTTACTACTCGAGGAGCCCAAAGCCAGGAGCTAGCAATTTTTGTGTCAGGTCTAGTGAAACATTTTCAATATTTACTACAAATATATAGCTGGGCTTAGTAGTACCACAGGGGCATGGATCGCTTTACTTGTAATATTAAAAAATAGGGGTCTCCTCTACTATTTTTTTAGTAGAGGAGACCCCTATATTTTAATATTACAAGTAAAGCGCTCATGATGAAGATGCCCCTGTGAGTAGTACATCCTATTGACAGCTATGGTCATTCAAGGACGTGCCAGGTTTTGGTGGTGGAGGAAAACTGGAGTACCTAGAGAAAAAACACTGACCTGTGGCCAGTACCTGGCGACTACCCCACATAGGCCTCGAACCAACAACCCATTGATAGAGGGCTAGTGGTATCAGAATGTCAGACGCCTTAACCACTCGGCCACAGCGGTCCCTAGAGCTTTTCAAAATCTACCTGCGGGCTGGTAGTGATCCACTACCATTCCCTGTCAACCTTCCACCCAGTCAGTACATTATACTGATTTACTGCCCCTCAAAGGTACCTTGGCTGACCTTTCACCTACAGTACAATATCGGTCCACTAGTAGACGATTGCCATGTTTACACCCCTAATACTGATCCTTCACTAATTGCCACCAATGTCACATTCATGTAGAGAGATTAATAGTTGGTTGCCCTCATTCCTCAGATGCCAGCCAATTCTCCTATTCTCTCGGATGCAGTACATGGGAAGTAAACATGGCACACATTTTTGGTAAACAGAGACGTCTGTTAGTAATAATGGCCCTAGATCTCTACAAATATTGCCTCCCAGGTATCCCAACAAACTAGTTAGATGAGAGTTTGGTACTTTTTACAGAGTTTATCTTTTTCAGAAATGTGTTAAACGTAAGGACCTGATTTAGAAACATTTCCTGAAATCTTTAGTGTTGTTTATAGCTGTTTGTTTGTATACAGACGTAAGAGTTGCTGAAAACCTGCCAAACGCCCCCATAGACCCTACAGGATCTCCTGCGCTTCACGGCTTTGGTTGAATCTGATATATGGTAACAGACATTTTTACATAGAATATTTTGGCTGGATTGAATATCATAACAAGGAACTGCCCCATTAACACATACAAAAATAGAAAACTTAAAGATACTTTATCCATCTTCCTCATGACCATGAAGGTGAACAAGGGCTCATGTAGATAGCCTTTTAAGAACATTTAATTTGACAATATTACTGTATTTGATAATACACCTTATATTCAGATTTCATTTCATTTTAATGGATTTGGACATTTTAAAAGGGTCATTTTCAGCTAATTTCTCACTTGAATTTATGCTTAAAATAGCTTATGTGATGGACTAAGTCTGCATGTTGTCATTCAGTCTGTAAAATAGGGTTTTGGAGCAGATTACTGTGATATGGAGCTTGGCAAGACCATGGTTAGGATATTGGTACAGCTATAGGGACGTACTATGCCAGGAATGAGGGTGAGGTCAGCCTGCCTAATACACACACAGCATCCTCTTGGCATGTCTGTTGACTGGAGTCATACCACACACTGACTGGGTAAGGAGCACACCTAATTTTGACTGTGATATGGTTAATGTTTTAACACCTGCCTGACTTTGTCAAAAGTTCAACTCCCATATATCCAGCTTGGTCAAAAGTTCAATTCTCAGTCCAATTCTGATTACATCAGCCTGACTTGGTCCAGTTAAATTCCATCAGTCTGGCTTGGTTAATAATTTAGAATTACATCTACCGGTACCTGATTTGGTCCAATTTAGATTATACATCAGCCTCACATTGTCCATTTTAGAATTATATCTACCTAATTTGTTCCAATTCAGTTTTCATCAGCCTGATTTGGTCCAATTCAAATTACATTAGCCTGACTTAGTCCAATTTAGATTACAGTAGCCTGACTTGGTCCAATTAAGACTACATCAATCTGACTTGGTCCATTTTCAGATAACATCAGCCTTACTTGGTCCTTTTCAGATTACATCAATCAACCAGACTTGGTTCTATTCAGATTACATCAGTCTAACTTAATGGTCCAATTTAGATGAGTAGCCTGGCTAATTGGTCCAATTTAGATTATTACAGTAGCCTGACATGGTCCAATTAAGACTACATCAATCTGACTTGGTCCAATTTCATTCATATCTTTTCAAATTATCATCAGCAAAGTCCCAAACTTAGACCATACTTAATGAAGGTTCTCAGGAAAGTCTATACACATCCTGTGTCCAATCTTTTGACATGGAATCCGTCTGACCTGGTATCCTGTAATTTACTTTCTGGATCTTGCCAATACACATTTCTTTGACTTCAAAACAATTTTGCTTTCTATTTTAAGACAGTCTTTCTTACACAGGAATTAAAAAAAATTGTAAGACATTTCTGTTAACCAATAAACTTTGGTGTGCAGTACGTTCAATATAGACATTTATTTGTGTTGCCAAAATACACTGAAGTAATGGCCAGTCTGTGATCTGTGGTGCTTGGTGCTACAGCCGAGGTGTTACAGCCGAGGTGCTTGGTGCTACAGCCGAGGTGCTACAGCCGAGGCAGATTGGTTAATGGGCCTGTTAGTGTCCTGGGTGCAGTTTAAGGCCACTGGTATCTCATCTTTGTCAGCTGTCGGTTGTAATGAGCAGTTTCACTCTAAATACTCTCCACTCGTCCATAGTTGTCTGCAAATGCAACTCGTTTAGACATGTCAGTCATATTAAACGACTCGTTACTTTTCAAAATTAGGAAATATTTCATAAGAAATGTAACAAAGAGATTCAGTTAAAACATGCAAACTCTTTTTGTTCTAGACATTTTTATACAAATATTTACAGTGTGTACATACTCTCCATTCCATGTAAGTTGTAGCCGCCTCCGTTTCTCCTTGTTTAATATCCCCTGTACATAAAGTCAGGATACACACTCCGTCCTAACACTAGCATATACTAGCCCTATTTCATTTGTTTGTGGACAGATCTAGTGATAGAATTGTCTACTACCTAAAACCTGAAAGTTGATAGAATTGATCTGTTTCATAACATTCAGTTATTGTCAAGATAATATTGATTATGTTAATTATGTTAATTAATGTGGCATATTGTTTGGGAAATTAACTCATAAAGATATTTTGGTTAGGATATCTTCATCCTCGACACTCCAGGGGTAACGCTCACTTTCGCTCTCTACACCTCTGGAATTATGTCTTAGCAGAATTGAAGGCACCTGGCTAGCTATTTGATTGGTCTAAGGTAAAAAAAAAACTGACCAATCGCTAGGCTGATACCTGTCCTTTGAAGATTACATAGGTGCGCCACCTGACGTCAAGGCCAGTCAATATTAC